TGAGAGAGGACTGGAGAAGAGGAGCGGGATATAAAATTCCAAGACAGGAAAGATATATTGCCAACTGTTCATCCCAGCGCCCAAAACGCATTCTCTTCATTCTTAATAATTAAAGCAGTAAATCTTCTGCAAGAGGGAGGGAGGACGCACACACAAACACCACCGGCTCAGAAGTTTAGAGAGCTTTCAGACCTCAGCGCTTGATGCTGGACGTTTTATCACCGCTTCACTTCCTCGGTGTAAATTTGAGTGCTGATATGTGCGTTATCCTGTCCTTCCACATGTGCTTTATAAGTGGGATTCTCAGTGTAACCCTGGGCCCCTTGCGGCGCTACCCTGAGACCCCAAATCTCTGCCACAACAACACAACCAGGACGACAACTCCCTCTGTTGTGTTTGCTCAGCTGGTTCGGCTTTGTCAGTCAGTATCAAACTCCTTGTTCCTGCCCTTCTACTGTTATTCTTTGCCTCTGTTTAGTTTCTTTGCACTAACATGGTTTGTTGGTTCTTTTGTGCTTTGTTTTGCATCAAAGGGAACATCTCCCATGTACCCCGTTTGTTCCCTCAGACAATGATAGGGTCGCGAGGTCACTGATAAAACATGGCTACCTGTAACCTGTGAAGTTGGGGCAACTTTTAAGGGTTAGTTCATCCAAAAATAAAAATTCTGTTATTAATTACTCACCCTCATATTGTTTCAAACCCGTAAGACCTTATTTTTGCTGAAATCCGAGAGCTTTCTGACCCTGCATAGACAGCAACAAAACTGACATGTTCAAGGCCCAGAAAGTTAGTAAGGACATCGGTAAAATAGTCCATGTGACATCAGAGGTTCAACAGTAATTTTATGAAGCTATACGAGAATACTTTTTGTGCACAAAGAAACAAAAATTTATTCAACAATGTCTTCTCTTCCGCGTCAGTCTTCGACAACACATGCATGCGGTGCTGCTGACATCACATGGGCAATTTTAATTATGTCCTTACTACCTTTCTGGGCCTTGAACGTGGTAGTTGCGTTGATGTCTATGGAGGGTCAGAAAGCTTTATAAGAATATCTTAAAGGGGTCATCGGATGCAAAATTCATTTTACATGTTGTTTGAACATAAATGTGTGTTGGAAGTGTGTGTACACATCCACCCAATAATGAGAAAAATCCACCCAGTGTTTTTAAAAAAAAATCCCTATTTTAAAATCCCCTTTCTCAAATCAGGCTGTTCTGAGATTCCTGTGAGAATGACTTAGTTCTGCACAGGCCCCTCCCACGATAGTTGATTGACAAGGCCATCTTACCTCAGACCCGCCCTGAGTGAGCTGTGAGCTGTCCGCCATTGTGTCGACTCCGGTGCAGGGGAAGACAAGAATGTCTCCGATTAAGCGATTGAGGTGTTCTGTTGTTGGATGTAATAATGAACATAGCAGTCATCATTTACTCCCAAAATCTGAGCCGCTGAAGACGCAGTGGATTACGTTTGTTTTTGAAGGGAATGCGCCCCCCAATCTACCTAAATGCGTCTATGTTCGCGCGAATCATGTGTGATCCAGCTTCATCTACAGAAGAAGTGAGTATAAGGGTTTTTTATGAATCCTTGCAAATCGCCTTTCCTAATAATGTGCCAGTTAGCAAGTTTTGCGGCTAAATGCGGCTAAAGTTTACAGTCTCATAGAACAGCTTGTCACCCCACGGAAGAGAGGGGCGGGGTGAGCAGAGCTTATTAGCATTTAAAGGGACATTCAACAGAATGGGTTGCTGTAAACAGAGCTGATTTTGACAAGGTAAAAGAGGTGTTTTTACACTACCATTGAGAAATTTTAACCAAAGTATGTTATAGACTTTTAATTTTAAGACCCTAAAGAATCATATCAACTTGTGGAAAATGGGCATCCGATGACCCCTTTAATTTGTGTTCCAAAGAACAACATGAGGGTTAGTACTTAATGACAGAATTTTCATTTCTGGGTGATTTAAACCTTTAAAGGGGTCATATGATGCTATTTTAAAGATCATTATTTTGTGTATTTGGTGTAACAGAATATGTTGACATGCTTTAATGTTCAAAAAACACATTATTTTTCAAATACTGTACATGGCTGCATCAACAATACTGCTGTTCCTGAAACCACGCCTTCTTTCTTTGCGTGCACATTTGGGCGGCATTATGCTAATATTTCCACATAGTGACGTAGACATGTGGGGGCGTGTTAGAACGAGGCATTTTAGGTAGGCGTGGTTGACTCTTAACTTTTATAAAGAATATCTCTTTGGATTTGAGACTTTAGTCTTTGCAACTTTACAGATCTTCTTTATGCACCAAGAGCTTGTAACACTCCAAAGAGAAAGGAAAAATTGAAATCGCATCATATGACCCCTTTAACATAGATTGGGCAATATAATTAACAGTAGCACCAGTTAAAAACTCACTGACACTAAAAATGAGTTCCAGTGGGTGCTATATCACTGACCTGCAAAGATGCGCAGGCGTTTGCGTCTCGGAGGCGGCCCGAGTCCAGAAACACCAGTACACTCATCTTCATCATCACAATCCCCACTTTCTAGACCCTCCTCATCCTCGTCTGCCTGGCCCTGTCCGGCTGGGTCTCTCCTCGCAGCGCCCCCTCCTGGTCGAGCCCTCCGTCGCTTTTCAGGCAACGTCACCATCCGCAAAAGCTATAGAGAAGAGAGTGTGGTGGAAAAATAGAAAAAAACATTAGACTTCTAATGAACAGATATGCTATAACCGCTATTGGATGCTACTCTAGGACAGGGTTTCCCAAACTGCAGTGTGGAAATGTGTTACATTTTTTAAATATTAACTTGAAAATTCAAGGGACACTTCAAGTAAATATTTTTGGTCAAAGAGGTTCGGTTGAAAAAAGTTTTGGAATCCCTGCTCTAGAGCATGCATCGTATATCAGTATGAGATTAGGTTTATGGATTTGTGTTCAGATCACAATCACACTCTAGATGAAAACTGTCAAACAAAGTCATGGTGAAATTAATTTGTTAGTGCTAAAAGTCAAATATTTTTTTTTTCAGCATACTGAGAAAAATGGCCAACACGATGGGTGGAAGCTAGTTAGATTTACTGGACAGACTCTGAGTAATATCTGAGAGATGACTGTGGAAGATAAAAAACAAAATATTTTAGTATTATTGCAGAACTAATAACAACAGAATTTGGTTTTGAATTGTATTGGTAGTTGGCATTCTATTCTTTTACAGAACAGCAAACTATTTTAAACAGCATTTCGTGAATTATTTTATAATTATTATGCATAACTTGTGAGCTGATATTATTCTATATTAATTTAAAAAAATAGAAGTTAAATTTATACTTTTAAAAATTCATTTGTCACTCTGCAGGACCATTTTAAAAAGTGAAAATTTGTTTAAAAAATAAAAAATAAAACAACTCTGACCAGATGAAGAACCTTCAATTTCAGTATTATTTTTAACATAAATTCTTGATGTTGATAAGTCTGCATCCACCAATTATTTAGATTTAATTTTGGGTTAAACAGATCAGCTGCTTCCTGACAAGAATGAAATTTCATAAATTGCTCCATATGCATTATGTGTGGTATGTGGCATATGTGGTATGTATAAAACTTCACATTGAGGATTGATTTTGAGCATGATAAGGTTAAATATATAAAGTTAAATGATCTCATCAAGCCATTCATTTCCAAAACCCTTTTTCATGTCTTTCTTTTTAAACAGTACACTCTTAAAAATAAAGGTGCTTCACGATGCCATAGAAGAACCTTTTTGTCTAAATGGTTCCATAAAGAACCTTTAACATCTGAAGAACCTTTCTGTTTGACAAAAGGTTCTTTGTGGCGAAAGAAGTTTCTTCAGATTATAAAAAGGTAAGAAAGAGATGGTTCTTTAAAGAACCTTTCACTGAATGGTTCTTTGTGGAACCAAAAATGGTTCTTCTATGGCATCGCTTGAAGAACCTTTTGAAGCACCTTTATTTTTAAGAGTGTACTGCATTGAAATAGTCAGGCATAAAAGGATAAACATTAAATGAGTTGATTCCTACATCGACCGCTGTTGTGTTTTGCCAAACTATAATTGCTGAAAATTCCATCGTCCCCCTCCGTCTTCTGCTTTTCCTTTAATCTTTCTACTCTGTCTTCCTCTTTTATTGATTTCCTTCCGATGTGCGGACACAAGCATGTGCTTGTTGTTGTTGGTTTTTTTCGTCGCTGTTGTTGTTTTTTGTCTACAGGAGAAAATTGAGATCAGATGGGTCTGGCTATGGATGGCTTCGCTCTGAAACAAATCATAGGGCAACAGCTTCTGACCAGCACACAGCTCTCTCTCTCTCTCTCAAAAATCTCTCTCTCTAAAAAATGGATAATTATTATATTATAACCCTCAGAAGATAAACAGGCCTTACTAAACATACAAACCCCTCCATCTGTGATTTAATGTCAGTGCATTCTCAGGAGGTCAGCAGGGAAAGTCATACAACATGTTCCACCAGATCTCCACACAGGCCTCTATTCAGGCCTGAAACACGGGAGGCACAGACCGCTTCTGTTTGAACAAGTCCGCAGGGCCGGTTATAGCAGTGACAGAGAAACTGATTCATTTACGCAGCTTGCCCACCGGCAATGACACCGAAAAGCATAAAACGGACAAAAGACGCCTGATAACGGTGTGAAAATGAGCTCGGGATAGCGCCGCCTAGTGAAACCACACTCCCTCAATGACTTGTGCTGTTCATGAAACTGAAATAACAACAAACGCGCCTGTTTTCCCTGTGCGAGGAATGGGCCTTTAATGCACTCGGCTCTCTTGTTTCAACAGCATGTTTTTGGAGAGCTGCATGAGTCTAAGCCCTAAGCACATTTACTGAGGGCTCTGAATTCCTTCCTGAAGACCGTTGCCCAGTAACGACGTGAGACAGGCCGTCCCCACAAACGTGGCCAGCTGAGGTAGCACAGGATGCTTTGGTTTGGCTGGTTAGAGTACATTTCTGGTGCCACTGTGTTACAGTGAAGGAAAAGGGGAATTTATTCATGCTTTAAAGCAATAAACTCACTTTGAATGCAAAGGCCGTATGCATTTATTTTGCTTGTCCATGTTAACAACTTACAGTGTTCACACTGTACACAATGCTGTGTAACAGAAGAGCATGTGCGACGTCTAGTATTCTGGAGTCTATTTTTGTCACACATCGTGTGCTGAATTCAGCAGGAACACTATGAAAATGCACCATAAACCTATTTAACAACTCAGTGTTTTGCAATATAGGCTTTTATGAAGCTATATAAAATAATGGAGTGAATTACTCACCCATTGTTTGAAAAAAGACATCTGTTACACAGTGACAGGCGCACAAACACTGTCTATTCAGCAAGTCAGACAACTTAAGCAGTATGTAGTCTATGCTCTAAACATTGGGTTTGGTTCCTTGGTAAATGTGGCCCACTTCCTTATGTAAATTAGATTTTATTAAGAGCAAATTTGTAATAATCAGAGGTGGAGCTGTGGTCTGACAGATAGAGTGGATCAATACTGAATGCTGGACGATGGTCGGTTAAAATAGCTTTCAAAGATTTGGGTTTATAAGATTTTTGAAAGAAGTCTCTTATGCTCACAAAGACTGAATTTATTTGATCAAAAATACAGTAATAGTATGAAATAACTGCTTTCTATTTGAATATAATTTTTAATATAATTAAAATGCAATATTCCTGTGATGCAAAGCTGAATTTTTAGTATCATTACTCAGTGTCTTCAGTGTCACATGATCCTTCAGAAATCATTCTAATATACTGATTTGCTGCTCAAGAAACATTTACGATTTTTATCAATGTTGAAAACAGTTAGACTACTTAATATTTGCTAAATACTTTTGTGAAACTGTGATATATTTTTGTCATGATTTTTTATAAATAAAAGAAAAAAACTGCATTATTTGAATATTTGAACAGCATGTTTTTGGAGAGCTGCATGAGTCTGAGCCCTAAGCACATTTACTGAGGGCTCTGAATTCCTTCCTGAAGACCGTTGCCCAGTAACGACGTGAGACAGGCCGTCCCCACAAACCATTTAAACTCTGAAAGCAAACAGTCGTAAAGAGAAAGAGAGAGAGAGAAATGTGGTCGAGGGTATTTTAAAACAAACTCGATTTTTATCAATGTTGAAAACAGTTAGACTACTTAATATTTGCTAAATACTTTTGTGAAACTGTGATATATTTTTGTCATGATTTTTTATAAATAAAAGAAAAAAACTGCATTATTTGAATATTTGAATATTAAATTAAAAAGTATATAAATTAAAAGTATTAATTGTCTTTCTTTCTTTCCAAAAAAAAAAAAAAAATCTTTCCAAACTTTTGAATGGTAATGTATTTTCAAGATATATCTATAATCAAATCAAATGTAGAATATATGTGACCCTGGACCACAGTCATAAGGGTACATTTTTTGAAACTGAGATTTATACATCACCTGAATAAATAAGCTTTCCATTGATTTATCTCCGTTGAATTTGCATAACGTACAGTGTATCTTTCAGCTGATCTTATAAAACCCTGTGCCCTATCAAACCAACATGTAATAACTGTGGTAACAATTCCCAATGGCCAACTCATGATAAACACCTATAAATATTTTCAGCTACTCAATATATTAACGCAGATATCACTTTCATTTTCTTAGATCAATACTGTCAGTGTGAGGACACAATGCTATGTGTCAGATGCAGTAACGCTGCTGCTGTAAAACAAGCCTGGTGTGTACTGGAGAGCCTCAAGGAAGCACAGAGAACACAAATAAAACAAAATATGCTTGATAAATCAAGAACAAGCCTCATACTTGAGGACTCCCCTCCTCCTCTTTCTCTCTGCGGTCCAGAGGCTTCGGGAACACAGAGCTCATGGAATGCAGCGGAGCTCAATGCAAAAAATGCAATTAGTGTCTGTTCAGCCATGCGATCCCTTCTTTCCCTTACTGCACAGAACACAAAGGAAAACTCAGCTCACAAACTCACAAAAGGCCAACACATGGCAAAGTGCTCAGCGGCGAGAGAGACGCAGTGCCCACAGACCTGTCGCTGAGCCCCACGCCAGGCCTGAACTCTGCTCAGGGTCAGCGCTCAGAGCAATATAGTAATGCCACATGGCAGTTTACTGTTTAATCAAGCAGACAAGCAATGGAGCGTATAAGAGGAGAAAACTCACAGATGGGTTTCTGGAAATTATAAGACCATGACTAAACAATGATTAGCCCAGCTCAGATCTCATCCAGAAAACCTGTTGCCGCGATGATATGGTCTTGTGTGTGAGTGTTGCTTTGGGGTTGCTAAGATTCTGTAAATAAAAATATATCATGTTTTTCTACATTCCCTTGCAACCCCTTGAAAAGCCCTGATTTGAGATATTCATGTATTTGTAGCATAAACATGAAGAGTGTGTTATACAGTGAAGTTTAAACTTAAAGTTAGGGGTTTGTTTCAATCTTTAAACTGATTTTTGAAAAATTGTAAGTTATTCTTGTATTAAAAAGCACCTCAGATATGCCTAGATTACCTCCATTTTATGAAAGCCTGTTTCCACCACAAAGTAGAAAATGCGACTTTTTATCTCACAATACAGGTTTCTGACTTTTTTCAGAATTGCGAGATATAAACTCAAAACTGCATGATAT